CTTAAGTTTACGGACAACTAAAATTTCTTCCAAGATCAGAGAATTGCGAGGCTGGTCAAAAGTACCTATTTTATTTCTCTATCTAAGCATCATTTTGTGCAGTTTTACGCTGAGGATCTATTATAAACTAAACGCTAAACTATTGCATCCTGGCTTCCGTTAGATTATTCGTTCTGATATACAGTACGGCTTTTGACTTTTCAACTAGCCCCACAGGCACAACAAATGCAGCTTTTTAATCCTTCACTCATAAAACTTCAACCAATCGCTTTTCTGCTTTCGTGCCATTTAGTTTAGTATGAAACAAACCTCATTATGTACAGCACTGCAATTTGAAGTTTTAACAGAGGACACTAGTTGGAACAATAAATTCCAGGGAATGACGAACACCTAAAAATGCAGTTTATAATAAACTGTAGATGATCATTTCGGGTGAATGTTGGGTATGTGTTTATTTTGCTCAGAAGTAGGTCTTCTGAACACAGATTTAAGACTCGTGATTTTGGATTTGGGCAAACCGCGGTAGTTGTTGAAAATAACTCGTGGTTTGTCCTCAGGCAATGGGCCTCTTAGCAATCAGACCACAGCAGAAAGTACTTAGACAATGAACTTTTGGAAGACGTTTAAAAAATAGACTTTTGCTCACATCGCATCGCAACGTCTACGTGGAACATGAATCAAAGCAATTTTGTTGACCACCCTATTAGAAAAAAAACATTTTGGAGCTTAAAGGGTTCGGGAGTCATTTACGGTGTTGGTAATTGAATACTGCGTTGAGTTGGACAAAAATACCTTAAGGGTTTATAAGCCTGACAACCAGGAGGTTTGGCTGTGTCAGATGAACAAAATCCATAACTGTGTTCCGTCAACTTGCTGCATAAACTTTAGATCATACATGTTAAATCTCAAGTGCTTATATTGCTTACTCTGTCTCTCATAAAGTAGCACTGAGAAGAGCAACAATCCCATAACTTCAGACTTACACTCACGCTAGATGAATAAGGATTGGTCATATGCACCGAAGTCCAAATATTTTTAGGCTTTTTTCAGCTCCTTGAAATCCGATTCATGAACCAACGTCTCCTCTAAAATGCCTACTTTGTGTTGTCGCTTGGCGTAAATCCTCGTCGCATTCAAGCTGCCTAGCACTTTATCATTCTGGCCTGGGTACACGTAATCATATCATAAGCCGACATCGTCGGTTGGGTGCTTCTTTCGTTTCTACATTGGATGCAGTTGGCCGATGACGTTGCTGACGGATGTGGGCTTCACCCACTGCTAGATAGTGCAGCCCAATAGCATTTACCCTTAGAAGACTCATTATTGGCCACTGCGATATCCGGGAGGCGGTTAGACGCACTCAACTCCAATGCCGGACAAACTGGGAGGGGAGTTACTGTTAAACGAAGATTTTTTTGCTAAGTTATCCACACTTGTTGGCTCAATGATTGGGTTTGGCGGACATGTTTCGACATTCTGGGAAAGCTGAACAATGATTACTCAGCACGCTCGTCGTCTTAGGACCGCAATAGAAATAGGAGGTGAATAAACCCACAACTCACGCCTGACATCCAGAGTCCAGACGCTGAGGTGAAAAGCGCAAAAATTCTTCACATTCTTCAATGGGGATTTGATCCGACAGTTTCAAGTCCTGACTCAAAACAAGTGTAGTTCTCATAATAAGGCGCCACCATTTCTGACCCGCAGAGTCCTAAGACATTCCTAACACAAAGAACCTGCGCAACTAAGAGATAACAAGGCAAAAACGATCTTCTTTATGAGATAGCTGAGTACTTCTCGGAACTTTGCCTCCCTCGCACCCTTCATGTCTGGTTGCCTTTTCTCTGCCACCTGACTCGGTCCTCCAGTGACCTGCAATCTGAAATGATGGCAACGAGAATCAACTCCGAAATAACATTTGGAACTAGGTTGCCGATATTTTTCTTGATCATTTACTTTTAATCATTTTGTGTGAGCCAGTTAAATCCCTAAACTCTAGTTCCAAGGGAAAATAGAACGTCCATACTCATGCAATCAGGACAATTTAGAGAAGTTCCCCCTTACATGAAGTAAACATTTATTCCTTTGCACTCCGCTAACCTGTTTGAAACAAGGTCCTACTTTGGGAATAGGAGGTGAGTCTTTCAAATATTTATTGGAGCCAATACCTTTGCTCTGCGACCTGACAGACAAAGCTGCCAGAAGTATTACAGAAGAAACATTCCACTGACTATCTCTTTCATTCAGGAGAAGAAACTTCTCCTCTACATAAGATAAAACCATAATATAAGTCGTCGTCGATCTTGCCTTTACATGAAATTGTATTTTTAAGATACGTGAACTCCACCACTGCTGTGACGTGAGTCCCACTGACATAAATACGGAGTTCGGTGTACTCAGCGTTTGACATCCCTTCATGAAGTTGTAATATCGTGTGAGTAAATCACTTAGAACATTCGAATTTCAGCATGCATTTGCACAGTCCATCGCGATTCACTGTGTCAAAGGCTTTCGTCAGACTAACGAACGGTGTCAAGATGTTGGTCCTCGTTTCTTGACACTTTTCCTGAAGATATCGGACTACGATGGTCACGTCTGTGGTTTGGTGGGACTTCTGTAATCCGCGCCGCGTTTCAGGAAAAAAGTACCTTCTCCAGCTGCGTTTTCAAGCTGTTGAGTAGGACATGGAAGAAGATTTCTTCCACGAGATTGAGGAGAGGATGCCTCCGTGATTATCACAAAGTAGTCGGTCCTCTTTAGTTTGTAGATACGCACCCTGATGGTACCCTTGAAGTTGTGGGACGTGTCCGTGCCGTCATATCTCCTGTAACGGCGAGGGAAGGTCCGCATGAGTCGTGGCCGTCAAAAGTGTGGACTTCGGATGGAACGGCGTCTGCTCCCGGTGGTTTTCGGCAGAAAAGTAGTTGCCCCACTCCGCCTGTCTCAAGGAGAGAAAGCGGACGATCGAGATCGTTGTTTGTCACCACTCGGGGAGATCGGCTGACGGCTTCTTCACAAAATGGGGATGGGTGTTTGAGGACCACCTGAGAGTGAGCGACCCAGCGCCCCAGACTCTGTGACCTCTCAATCACAAATGTTGCTCCAGCCTGACTCATCAGTGGCGCAGTCTCCTCGGCTTATGAACTGTAGATACTTTGATGGCAATGAAGACGCTTTAATCTCACCACGGTTGGCGTACCTTTGGGTCTTCCTAACTGTGTAAGTCAACCAGCTGTTCGGCATCTCCCTCAGTCTCTGCTGTACTAACCTGCGGCCTTGGAAGCATGTCTCGATGGTGTAGATCGCATGTGGACGGTGTTTCACAGTGAGTGACCTATCTAGTGAAATCTGCCCAGGTTAACGTAAATTCATTAATCTATCTGAAACGGGGAGAACGCATCCAAACTAACAGTCAGCGACCTCTAGCTAAATGAAAAAGCAAAATATGTCTTACAACTTCTATCTCATTAATGAGAAAGAGCATTTTTTACGAAAGTAGCAAATGTTGAAAACGCGAATCTTCATGTGACGTGATTAGGTT